TTTTTTTTTTTTGGGTGCTGATCTCTTGAAGTTGTAGTGTTCTCTATTTTATGCTTTCCAGATCGCAGGAAGGCCAGACAGACCCTCTTTGCTCTGGACGAATAATGATCAGCCTCAGATCGTTCTGCTTCTTTCTCTTCGTTCTTCTCGCTCGATCGATTCCTCTTATCATCCATCATCCGTTGTTCTTTGTCGTTTAGTGTTTTGCCCCGGCTCTAATTGGAGGAAGAGCTTTTGCTTTCTCCTGCGCATCCTTATCATCTGCGGTAGTTGGCACGTCGGATGACTTCCGTCGTCGTTTCTTCCCTTCTTCCCTCCCTCTCCCCCCCCCCCCTCTCTTCTCTTTTGCCCCCTCTTTCTCTTCCCATTTTGACTTTTATGCCCTCCCGTAATGATTTCGAACGGTTTGACATGTGATGATGGCGGCACGAAGGAACGCCCTCGCTTGCACACTTCTTGTTCTTCTTCTCCGTTCTCTTTTTTTTTTCCGACTTCCATATTTCCCCCTACCGTCTTTCCCTGATCACAACGCACCCTCCTGATGTACGTATAGTAGCTTGCTTTCCGGTCAGGTACAGTCATGATGAGGGTGCTTTTTGTGTTCGGGGGAAGACGGTAGTCCAAGCCGAATCGACGGATGCCTGCCACGTGGCGGAACGAGGATCCTCGTCCCTTCCCTCCTTCCTACTTCCTTCGTCTTTCCTCTTCTTTTTTTTTTTTTTTTTCCTTCATCTTCATCTTCATCTTCATCTTCATCTTCAACCTGCTTCCCTTATGATTTGATTGGATGTAATGTTCGCGAGGATACTATAATGGTTTGTCTTCTGGACTCTAATGCACAGCGGTGACCTCGCTATCTCCATCCTGTTCCTGCTTTTCACCGGGCTCCTTTCCTCACCATCATCTTCACACACCTTCTCTGTCGTCACTCGCCTGTAACACTGCACAACGACACCCTCCGCCGCCCCCTTTACTTCGTGTTTCTCTACCGTCTTCCACCTAACACAACGCACCCTCAGTTTGACTGTGTCGGACTGGAAAGTCAGCTTGTATACGTTCATTATCAGGGCGCGTTATGTTCGGGGAAAGACGGCAGCTATATCGTTTTTCAATATTCAGCAGTAAATTATATTTGACTATATCTAGTTCTTACTCTTATATGATATATATATATATACGTGTGGGTGAGTGATAGTCTACTTTGATTTTGGTTAAGGTAGATTATCATTTACAGTGTAATCAGTGAGGGGATTCTGCAGACTGTTGAGGGTTCAGCCTCCTGATCAGTCGGTGAAACTCCGACGAAACAGTTTGTCACAGCCCCTCGTTTGTTGTCCTCTTCTCTCTCTCTGCCTACGGTTTACCGGGCAGTTCTATTTGTGACGATATATATGTGACAATATATATGTGGTATTCATTCTTGTTTGACTCTTGGATTTAGATCGACAGTCTTCTTTTATTTTTTTTTCGCTTGAAAAAACGATTTTCTTCATTTTTACCAGATTGCCTACTTTCAGCGGTGCTGCTTTGTGAAGCATGCTCCCCTTGTGACTCATTCACACACACAGAGAGAGAGAGAGAGAGAGAGAGAGAGAGAGAGAGAGAGAGAGAGAGAGAGAGAGAGAGAGAGAGAGAGAGAGAGAGAGA